CACTGTGGCCTAGTATACCCGCCTTTCAGACGAAGGGAACCTCGCTTCTGTCGCCAAAGATGCCGCAGGTTCAATAAGGTAGCTCTGGCTTTTGCAATACGTGAGCTGACGTCAATTTCTATGCGTCCATCATTGCTGACGCACCTGCCAAGATAAGTGAAATGATCAACCAACTCGAGTTCCTCGTTAGCAAGCGTCAAGGGGTCATCAAGTGGCTGGTGGTCCTGCAGCGACACTTTGTACTTTAAAGGTGCGGAGTGCATACCATATAATGGGACCAATCTGGACAGGCTATTCAGGGTTGATTGGGGCGCCCCAACATCGTCGAAAAGCAAGACGATTTCGTCCACATAATTCTAGATCAACTAACCTTTCACCAGGCAACACTTCAACGCCTACATCGTGAGATTCCGCAAGGGAGAACGCCATAATAGAGGCCACAACAAAATTGAACAAAAATGGGAAAATCAGACAACCCTCGCGAACGCCACTTCTGGTCCGAAAGCTATCCGATAGGCCACGGTAGACTCTGACGCGGTCTTTAGTGTTCGAGTATAGAGCACGAAGGATGTTCACATATTTCGTGGGAACACATTTCCGCGCAAGTATTTCGAACAGAATCGATCGATCGACTGAATCGAACGCACTCTTGAAATCGAGGGACACAGTTATTGTCGGTCTTCGGTATGCGTGGCGCTGATCCAGCACCTGACGTAAAGTGAATATATGGTCTAAACAGCTACGTCCTGGGCGGAAACCCGCCTGCGCTTCCCTAATCCGACATTCCCGTTTCGCAGTGAGGCGACGAACGATAATCGAGGCCAGTTGAACAACTATGATCCGTGCACCGAAGTGGGATGGATCCAGTTGCCACGACTCACATCGCAAGAATAACGGTAAAAACTACAAAGGCAAGATAGTGAGGTTAAAGTCAAATAGAATGTAATGAAAATAGAAGCAAGAAGGAAGTGAGTTAAAATAATCAGAATGGGAAAAATAACAACCCGGTGCAAGAAATCGAATGCAAGAACGCCACTGACTGCGTGACTGCGCCATGTCAGATACGTTCACTAACTATTGGTGTGGACTATCCCGAGGCCCCCTCCACGGAGACGGCGTGCACCAAGTCTCTCCGTCAATTTCTTCACGCCACTATGCCACATCATAGCGTGGCCACCTTGCGGTTTAAGCCAACTTGTGCGGCTATGCCGAGGAAGCCGGTCAACGGGCATACGGAAGACATGGCCTGGCCAAGGTAGGCGGCTAAGATTCACCAAACACTCGTGAAGCACCAGAAAGTTTCTTGCCAAAAAGCAACTGACGGACCTCCGCATTACCCATCCGGTGTTCACACCAGAAGTGAGCAATACTCCGCAAGTACCGGTGATCAAACACAGCCAACGGAAACTTGATTGAAAGGCCTTAACACTGTACTTACGCTGAGATTCTCCCGTGACCACGGAGACATATGACCTGCGTCTTTTTGGTGACTAAGAAGCAGCCCAAGCTAGCTTAGTTGATGTAAGTGTAGCACCAAGAGGTAAGGCTGAGGCTGCACTGTTGGACTGGTTCCTGATTAACAGCCGACTGTGTGCAGTTCGGCTCCGGGCTTCAACCATAATCAACAGGGGTCGCGAGAGACGCATCTCTAATGGACTGAAGCTGTGACTCGGTCAAGGACCGCTTCTATGGAAAGCTTCATTAGCTTTAGAGCAACGCTAACCAATGGAATGTCGTTGTCCTTACTGGGGGTTTAAATGCACTAGTGGGCCGCCTGTTACCATGATGGTCGCCACGCGCTCGATGAGAACCGCTCAGATAACGGAGACAGACTTCTCATGTTATACGAAAACAACCATATGTTCCTCTCGAGCACCAACCCCAGATATATGAAGAAACCTGCAAATTAACATCCGCGTTTAGCATCAAAATCATGGTCTCATATTGATCACATTAAAATCAGCCTCGGGTGGTGAAGCAGCGTACGGGGTCGCAGATTCTTTTTGCCAAGTTTCATTGACTCAGATCAAGCGCTGCTCTGTGCAAAAACATGCATGTGCTTTGAGGGTCCACAAAAAGAAGCAACGCAAGATTGATGCGACCAGACTAGCCTACTCCTCGGTCTAGATGAGCTATCAGTCTTATCTGGTAGACCCGTTCAGTTGCAATTCATTATAAGGCAATAAATTTGTATACAGAGGTCAATGATCGCATCCAGATAATTAGGATGCGGTCTAGCTCGATGCTCATTAAACATTTAGATCTCTGATTGCCCTCTGGAGCTGTTCGACAATCGCAGACATCGTGGCAGAATCAGATTACAATGAGTAGCGCGGTCCTTCCAATCGGGTGCTCAAGAAAAGCAAGGACTGAAATGCCTGGTGGTCTGAGCATGCTTTAGTAGTGGAGATTGCTGTTCTCTGACAATACTCGTATGCCTTTCCAACTCACTCGGTCAACTGGCTTCAGGAAGCTTGATGTCAGTGAGGTTGTTTGCGAGTCTGATGGATCTCCGATCACTAAGCAAAAAAGTCGCTTGGGGCGCTGGGCCGATTAGTTTCACTTGCACTTCAACTGGCTTCCAACGTCCATCCGTGTGCGCAGTACATTTAGTTGCTTACCGTTGCTTGTCCCACTGGATACACTTAGCAAGGCAGAAGTCTGCCTCGAGATGCAACACTTGAAGCTATTCAAGGTTGTCAACTCAGATGGGCTTCCTCTAGAGCTGTTTAAGTAAGGCAACACGGTAGTCATTAAACAGCTGATTTCATTACTTTCTAGAATCATCTTCTTGAGGTGAATAAATAAATGCCCCGATGTTACAAATAGATACTCGTACTTCGTGTGTCAATAATCGAAAGAGTAGTTTCACTTCGGTTGCCTCCTAGTTATTGGCATTTATTATGCGTTGTATACTATCCTCAAAATGAGAATCAGTCAACGTTTTTGTCCCGGACATGGATCAAGTATTCAGACTCCACCAACTCCTCGAACAACGTCCCCTTTACCACAGGTCTACCATCACATTCCTAGAAATACGGGCTGCATTCAACTCGGTTGATATATCTGCTTTATAACTTTGCTTGTTGAAGAATGAAGTCTCAGAAGAGCATACCGCCATCCTAAGTGTATGACATTTATGTCTCTGGCAGAGTGAGGACCCAAGGCAAGTTTTCCCTCTTCTTCGTTGTCAATAGCGGTGTACAAGAGGAAAACTCTATGTTCCCGTTCCTCTTTAACTTGCAATCGTAGACGTCCTATCGAAAGCTCTAAATGATTTCCAAAATTTTGTTTGGAGTTTCTGTCGCGTGAGTGCGCGAAGGAATTAGAGTACGCTGACTATATCGTCTTAGTTGGTGACGATCTGCAGAGCATGTCACCCATTCTGAGCCGTTTGGTAATCGAGGCATCTAAGTATAACTTGTGCTGCGCCGCATCGAAGTGTCAAGTGCCGCTCCGGGATTGGCCCACACACGCTCCAGGACACGCATTTGAAGAAGCACACTTCGAACAGGTAGATAGTTTCGTATCCTTATTCCACGTGCGACCTGTGATGGTTGCGCGGCAGCGAAGCGGCGGTACTGTATACTAGCGTATTGATGATGCCTTTCATTTTTCTTTATGGGATGTGAGCACCATAAGTATGAATGCATGGTTAATGAAACTTGGCCTCCCACATTAGCCGCTTCATGTTTATTCGCAAGGATAATCTATCAAATCGTGTGAAGGGATAATCAGTAGGAAATAATGATACAGCGGCGTTAGTGGCAAAGGGGATGGCGTTAAAGAATGAAATTCAGGGTGGCGGTGAAAACGCCTCGAGTGTGAAGTGTAATCGCAAACAGTTGGCGTATCAACGAAGACAAGTGCTCGATTCGGTTCGAATGTGTAAGTTATTAGGAGTTAAGAGCGAAGGGTGTTGCAAAGTCTGGCTTTTATGTAGATGGAAACGGCTGACTTTCTGGAACGGACACGTAAATTACATAGACAAAGCTATACAACTGGTGCAGATCCACGTCACGTTGACTGGAGTAGCCCGGTCGCGTCATTAGCAAAATGCCTCTCTGCCTACTCCATCTTAAATGTGCAAATTAGTTGAGGGAAAGGATAAAAAGGAAGATGTGGTGAAGATCTTATGGTTTCGCGAAAGTTCGTGACGAACCTATTCTTCTAATCCCAGCCTTTCCATATTGTTACTGTGGGACGATTACGCAGTCTTGTCGGTCATATCGAATGACAATTACAACCCTTCTTTTCCCGGAGATACCACTGCCAGGTTGTCGACTGCGTGATCCCACAGTGATACCATTTATTGGTGGCAATTACGTCACGCTATCACATAATTTTGTCAACCGTTATCGAGTAACAATTTCGTAGCCATGACGACTACCTGCCAACAACAAAGCCAGCCATGTGATTAATACTAGGCCGTACAGACCGTGACTAGTCTTTGGTTCGAATCGGAAAAAAGCTTCCGTTGAAGATCACTGTCTTTGCTCTCCCGTGGGTTGTAAGTAGCCATGCGATATCCATAGTAATCTAGGCGCAATGAGGCAAAAACCGGTGGGCGACTAAACCACACAGGCGCGTCAACCCGAATTTGATCATCCGCTTGCGGGCGCAGAGCACGGTTCACAAGAGCTGAATCATCTGCTCCGGTTAGGACGATGTGTCCAAAGTGACGGTGTCTCAACAGATACAGAGTTCAAAACCTAGTCCAGAGTGTGGGAGAGTAGTCTGCTAAAAACTACGGAGCTAATACTCCGAACTTAGACAACGTGCGAAAAAGGTGTACGTACGTGGCTACGTTGTAGAGGGCAGACCCATGAACAAGATGTATCTGCTTAATACTGTGACAGCATTGTGCTCCACAGACTGCAAGTGTGAACGGTGTTGCAAGCAAATCAGTCTAAGCTATTAGATGCTTGCACTGAGGTTATAAAGCTCGGAAACTGATTGTTAATTTTGAATAAGTGTTTCGCATCGAAGTACACTCTTACCCGAACATCTTTTTCTGGCCAATTTTGTAAGATAGACTTGATTTTTCCTTTGTCATGGATAGTGACGAACAATCCCCTGTAACAAACATGGGAAGACAAGACGACGGAATTGTCCAAAGGGCATACATAAAACAATGTTTACAAGAAATGATTTATAGAAGAATACGAAGAGTGGTGAATGTATGGAACGACCTGCCGCAGCACGTGGTTGAGGCAAGGTCGGTGTCGGAATTTAAGAAATTCCTGGAAAAACACTTTGTCGACACCGGCACAAGAACTGGACGCTCGTTAGGCGGAAGCCTCTATCGTCCATCTGACCTGACCTGACACAAAATATATCAAGCGCACCATAACATAAGGGGTCTTTGTCCCTGAGTGACATTAGATGCAGCTACAGAGAAATCGCTACTTGCTGCTTCCAATCGGTAATCAGTAAACCAATCTAATTTGCTAAATCATAACGCGAGTGGGATAGAATGGAATATTGACATGTATCCGGTTGGCATGGCTTTGCACAATCAGTGGGGCATACAAGCAGTTTGATCAAATCGAAATAGCGTAGGTTACACCAGCAGAACGCTGAAGCCTAGTTACCGCACAGCCACACGTGATTATGTGCAGACTGGAATCATGTGAAGTTTCCTGCGCAAACGCATTCGAACAAACTGCCTGCCGAAACACTCCCTTACGAACCGGGAGTTATGTCCCTTACCAAACACACCATAAATGCTTGAGTAAACAGTGTTGGACAGTCATCTAAAATGTGAGGTCAGAGGATTTTGACGATAATCAGACAAACTGAACCGATCGGCAGTCAACTCCCGGAGAAAATTCCACATGGAGCGAAATTCGTCATCATCAAGGAACGCTTTCGTGAAAATTCGCAGTCGACACTGGCACTCATTCGTAACCCTAAACGAGGGTGTGACTACAACGGAGTTTAACTGTACACCTTACACTGTACTTTCAATACCCATTGAACTACGTTAAGTAAACCTTTTTGAGTGCATACAGTCACCCATGCCAGACAGACCAAAGGTCAGTGGTCCGAGCAAACCATCCATTATCTTCTCCGGAAAATGGAAAGTGCTCGATGGTCTAGTTCCTTTGAATCAGTCATGGGATACCACAGACTATGGGCCATAGGCTCAGCCCGAGTAACAGAGCAGAGAAGCCACGAGTCTTCTAGGAGGGTCTGAGTGCATTACCGTTGCTTAATGGCTTGTCACTGCCAGCCTCAAGCCAGTGATTCAAAACGCCCAAAATCGGCCAACTCACACCTGCGGATAGTTGTTATCACAGATGCGGTTGAAAAACACAAGTGAACAGCTCCGATTCGTCCAAGACCGCAAGTGTTCAGCTTCAAACGGTCAGCAATCCAGGTGAATATGCTCCCCATTGTTTTAGGACAAAATATCGTGTGGAGTACTTTAAGCAGACCCCCATTTGCTCCACTGCATTGTGAGAGGTTACTGATTCAAAGGCTAGAACTATGGCCCACCAAACAAGACGTCTTTCGTGGAACTGGCAGTCGACGTACCACCTAACCACAAAACATTGTCGCAGGCAAATCATTAACCTCAACCGTTTGCGTTCCTTCTGGCCCCATCAGTACATCGGTGCGCCGCACCGACGCTCCGCTGCTAAGCACAACCAGTCGCACGCTGGCAATGGACAATGAGCAGTCCCTACCAGCTACGCAGCTTCGAACCAGTGACGCTTGGGTTATAGAGCATAAGCCGCACCCATACTTTCGGTTACCGGTTAACGAATCGTTTATCGCGTTTACCATTAAGAGAGTATGACTAACTTTGCCAGCCATTCCATAAGGGAAACCAGTCATCTATTAGACTTAAGGATACATGTTCACTTTGGGTGCTTCAATGTCCGCACAATATCAGATCGGCCAACAGACGATGCTGGCCGATTTTACACTTCTTCGGAGTTGATGTCCAATGTGTCACTGACACAAGCGCATAGGGCAACAGTGTTCCAATTCATCTGCGTTAACAAGACGTGGGCCTCAATATCCGGCTCTAAAACACTTCAAGTCTCCGGTGATACTGAGACAGTGGCTCATGGCACTTATGGTGTTGGATTCGCTCCTGGTAGACGAGTGGACGCTGCGCTTTCAATGAATTTAACTAAACAACCGATTGTGGACAATACGACTTTTAAAACCAATCGGAGTTCATAAGCGGCGTTTGAAGGCGTCATTACATGTGACTTCAACCCACGCTTCCACAGATTGCAGCGCGAATGCTGCCAATTGTGAAATATATTCGTACTAACCAAGTGACCAAAACTAAGATCATTGTGGACGAAATGTATGGCCAAGTCGGTCACTAAGTAGAATTAGAATGGCGCGTCGGAGGACACAAGAAAATGCCCTCAAGGAGCTATTTCAAGAGGGGCCCAGAAACGTGTAAACATCTAAGTTTTCGCCTCAGCCACTCAGTAAAACACTACTTTATGAAGCTCATGCCCCATTATTGCACATACCGCTCACCTAAGAGCATAGCTACTTTTGTACACAAATTCCCGTATAAGGAGAATTATACGCAGTACTATCATTATCATCATATTAATCGATGTGATAATGATAATAGTGATTGCTTTCTTTGATTGTGTGCTAAGCAGAACATCCGTAACAGTAGCAATTTCCAGAACAAACGCTAACATGGTGGTCACTAAAAAGGGCTCACTGCGCTCAAACTGCATTAGCTACAGACGGTGAATGCCAGTGCAAGATTGTCGTTCGACCTGAAGCAGTCGTCCCGATCCTAATAACAGTATTGTGCGTGGCTGACTGGTGTTTCCTCTTCTAGCTTCGGTGAGGCGATAATTTGTATGTTACAAAAATTTTACTGCAAAAAATATGATGTTAAATATTAAATTATGAGTTTTGCATGAGATCGGGATTAGATGGGGAACCTAAAAGGAGGGGATGGACAAAGGAACTCACAACATAAAACGCCAGTGGGGCCGGCTCTTCACCATATCAGCAAGTGTGTCCAACCAAACGTGTTCATCGTCCTTAGGACCCCAGCCAGGCAGTCGGGACGCTCCAACCGACGACAACTTCGAAGTGAGGGTTTTTTATGTTTCTCGAGTAAGCCATCGTTTGACCTCCCCTCCCCTTCTCCCAACCGCATCCCAGGGTGCGCAAACAATACACGTCGCGGGAGTTGTGTGCCGGCATGCGCAATACCTGGCCCAGCTATCGGAGCCTGGTGAGTGACATAATGGTCCTGAGCGGTTCACTCGCTCTTCCTGCACCAAATACGCGACACCGAACACGCTCATTTCTCACCCGGTGCTCCCACCAGACATGAGCTAAGCTGTGAAGGTAACGATGATCGAATGTGACGAGCCTCTTTATGTCTGCCAACCTGATGGACCAGGTTTCACAACCATATAGGAGGGCTGTGTTATAAACTCTGCGCTTCAGGGCGAGAGTGGTGTCGCATCTGCGCCACAAGTAGAGAAAATTGGCAAAAGCACCTTGAGCTTTCGTTATATGATTCGTAACCATATCTTTGGTCCCACAGGAGCTAATATAGTTGTCCATGTATTTGAACTCCTGAACGACTTCTAACTGATCACCAAAAAGCGTCAGCGCAGGGGTGGGTCTCTACAAACCCTGAAGAAGTACTTTGCATTTCGATGGAGCAAAGCATAGTCCAAAACGACTGACAGCCAGTGCTAATCGGTCCAGTGCTGCTTGGCATGTTTGGGAGATGTCACAGATTAGGGCAATATCGTCCGCATACTTCAAGTCAAAAAGTCGCTCATCAGGAAGTGGTTTCACACCTTCTAGGTCGTGCACAGCGAATGCTGTCTCCATGAGTTCGTCAACTGCGAAGTAAATTGGAAAGGTGACAGCGGGGCAACCTTGTCATACACCGCCGGTGATACTGAAGGGTGGCGACAGTTTGCCCTAAACCCTCACACTGTCCGAACTATGCGCGTACAGCGCATTCATGATGTTTACGTATTTATCAGGCACAACCTTCCTCAGCAGACAGTCCCAAAGGCACATCGATCGACTGAATCGAAGGCAGCTTTTATGTCAAGAAACATGACAGCAGTGTGTCGCCAATAAACATAGAGGTGCGCCAACACTTGATGCAAGGTGATGACGTGGTCGATGCAGCTCCGACCTCGGCGAAACTCGACTTGATCTTCACAAATGTGGTTTTCACAGGTGCCAGTCAGTCTGTGGAGAATGACAGACGCAAGCAATTTAGTGGTGATTGAGATCAGACTGATCCCTCTATGATTGCCGCATTCCGAACGGGAGCCTCCCTTGAAAATTGAAGACAATGACGGAGCGGCTCCAGTCTGTCGGGACAGTCTCCTGCTCCCAAAGTTTCACTAGCAACTCCTGTAAATCATCTACCAGAGCAGGTCCCACGAATTTGAAGAGAGCTGGGGGAATTCTATTTGCCCCTGCGGCCTTATGTAATCGCAACAGCCTGCTCTCACGTTCCACTTCTGCGCGTTAGGGCGGACTCAAGGAGACGGTCCAAAGAGAGAGGCGCTCAATGCCCGAAAAAGAAACCGATAACTCAGGTTGGTTAAATTGCCTTGCAAAGTGTTCGGCCCAAAGCTGCAGGTGTGTTGACAGTCTGTGGATCGGCTGTCCACTCTCGTCGCGTTTGGTCTCACTAACACCAGGTCTCCTGCTGTCTGTTTCCCGTATCAGACTGAACAACTTATAATGATTACCAACGGCAGCGGCTGTTTGCATCTCAGACGCATAATGAGACCACCAGGCTTCACCGTCTTTCTTCAGGATAGCACGTGGTATTGCCCTGAGATTTTTGCGAGCCTCATTGTATTCGCTTCCATCCGGAATACAGCGACGAGCGTCCCAGAGACTATGAAGAGACCTAATGTCTAGTTTGGCAATTTGATTTGCCACGTGGACATTCCTGCTGATAGTAACGTTTGGCGAATATGCATTCAGAGATCTTCCACGGTGCTCAGTGGGCGTTTACTCAGCCTGGATGTCAGCGCACTTTGATAAACATTCAGAAGGTCTGGCTTTGCCAGCTGGTCGGTGTCAATCCG